CACTGCAACTGGAAGACAATTTCAATATCCAAAATAAACAAAGCAACACAATTAAATAAAATGAATTGTGAAGTCTTTGTAAGCAAATGTGTACTTCAGAAAATGGCTAGTTGAGACCCAAACACCAGACTGAATACTTGTCAAGCAATTCTTGGTAGAAACAGAAAAATGATAAATCATGAAAATTATTTGTTTTAATTTATCATGTGGTTAGTTGATTATTTGCTTACTGCAATTGGCCTAATTTAATGTTCATTTTAAGGAACAAAATTTTTACTTACAACTCCAGACATGAAGTCTGAGTCACTCAGCTTTTCATTCATGCCCAGAACATCATTGATTGTACACATTGGCAAAACGGCTCCCTCAGGCGGTTCAGCCAGTGGTGAAGCATTTTTCTGTCTCAGTAAGGTATTCAGCAACTGTCCATGTACTTTGAGTTTCTTTGACCTCCTCAAGGAGCATAACCAGTCGTGTAAACATAGCCTCTCCCAAGCTGGAGCTGCTCCTGCTCAATGAAGTCCCAGGACTTGCAGAAAGACTTGCACTGGGGCTTCTCAGACTTGGAGTTGGAGCTCTGCTGGGGCTTCTCCTCCTGTGCCCACCGAGACTATACACTTTTGAGGCAGATCCAATTGTGCTAAGTTCCAAGGGAGGAGAAGGTGGAACTTCATTCTCCAAGGAGTCCACACTGTCTTCACTTGATGAAAATGTGCCCCATTTTTTGGAGGATCTGAAATGATTGTCATGAATTGCGGGTTGAAGTGGTGAGGAGAGACGCTGAGAACCCAGGTATGGTGAAGATAATGAATTTAATGGTGAAAATAAAGCTCAGCAGTCCATACAGGCAGCACGGCAGAAACTAGCACACAGCTAAGTACCGGTAGCAACTGAATCACAGGACTAGACACGAGAGCTGACACTACCAAGACTAAACAGTTCTACTGGAGCGCAAGTAACACAAAAACTGAGACGTTAGACAAACCAGGACTTTACAGTTCTACTGGCGAACTACGACGATAGACAAGGACCCGACGAGGAACACAGACAACAGGTGGGTTTAAATACACACGGGGTAATTAAGGGAACGAGACACACCTGGGGAGCAATCAACGGCGAGGACAGGACAGAGACTCACAGGAACACAGGACTGAACACAGAGAAACTCAAAAATAAACACACAGAAACACGGAACCTAACAATGATAAATCAGAATTTAACTTGCAAAAGTGGTAAAAGTTGGTTTAAAAAAAAGCTGAGGTCTAGTGAGCAATTTAACTAGGATTTATTTCAAGTTTATTGTGAGAGATACAAAAATAAGATCTAAACAAGATCCAAAGGATAAGAAAAAGCTACAGCTGAACCCATGAAAACCAATAGGGAAGAAAGTCAAGAAAATAGTAATTTAATTCATTTAATGTGGCAAAGTCTACAGTAAAGCTCACAAGCATTAGCATTTCATCTTGAGTAGTTTTCCATTCTTACAAATATGTTGTTCCTTTAAGCTCTGAAGGATTAGGAGGAAAAAGCAAAGCAATGAGAACCAAATGGAAAAAAGAATGGAGAGCAGCTCAAATGACAACTAGGAAGAAAGAGTTTTGTGTTACATATGTTCCTGTTCCACAGTACCTTTTACGACGCTTTTCTGGGATGTCATTATCCGTTTGCAGATCTGATGTTGCTTCTGCCTTCACAAGCTTTCGTCGTGCTTCTACATAGTAGTCTTTAGAAAAGAATTTTTTAAAAAAGTATTAAAACATTTGTAAATCTAAAGCTCCTGTTTTCAAAATTTTCATACAAGTACATGTTTGTCACCTGCATTTCCAAGAACACGCACACAGCATATCTTCCATGAAGCATCTGGCTGTAGTTGTTGCTTTACTGCCTTAGTGACATTTATACCAAGGCCTGCTGGCCAGAAGCACTGAACCTTGTATTCGTCTGTAAACCAACATGATGGGATAATATCCACCAACTTCTTTCCCTCTGTTGACTCTTCACTGAATTCCACGATGCTGAAGGACATGCTGGAAGTTCATATTAAGTCAATTAGTGGTCATGTAACTGAGGAAAGACAACATGACCGTCCCGCAAAGGAAGGACTACCAGTTTTTTGGTCAGGCTTGTCACTGGTACACCATAAAGATGGTCAGAAAGTTGCATCACAGTTCTGATTCCTAGACAATATGAATCGATAGGGTATCTGCAGAAACAGTCTTGTTGTTCATAAAATTGACACACAGTGTACATGACTCCAGAAAACTGTATTATATTCCTTATTACAGCAACTTTGCCCTCAACATCAAAACAGTTGTCTCCCACGGAACATGATATGACATTTCCCTCATGTCTGTATTGCCTGAACTGCATGCGAGCAGGAAAGTCTGGGAGAGTTGGACCACATGAATGTGGAATTTGAGGTTTACTCCATCTTCCATCTTCTCCCAGAATGGGCTTTTCAGCTAACCGCCGGACGACTTGTTGGAGAGGGTTTTGGGGTCTCCGTACAAGTCGCTTCAAAGTCCCAAGATAATTTTCAAAGGGAAAACATGAAATATTGTCCAAGGCACCATATTTTCTAGCATCATCTGCTAAATGTATGAGACAGTGGGTGTTGTAGACTAAGTGTTCTGTTCCATATACCTTTGCAAAATTGGCAACATAACACCAACAATTTTCCAGCATAGTCAGTATTTACAGCACAAAACAGGACTGAGAAGAATTCTCATTGCTATTGAGAGCAACAGAAAGTTGTTGTACATTTGTGCTGATAGTCGTCCTTGAAGAACCACTGGGCCAGTGTACAACAGAAATTGTCTGAATTCTGTTGCCTTCCATTGACTGTATTCCATCAGTGACCGTGGTTTTCTAGAAAAATTTCTTGGAAGGTGACCTCTGACTGATTTCAAGTGATGCGAAATAATGGAAATGGTAACTGCAGACAGACGACACCTTAAAGGTCCTTTGATCCACAAACTTATAACTTTTTTAACATGTCCTAAACAAACTAGATGCATATAGTCAAGCACAAAGCTTGACACCATTCCTATGCCAAGCTGCTGCAAGGGTGAAACTCTATGATGGTGGTCTTCATCCGTCAAAAGTTGAAACGTTTCATCTGTTCGCAGAGGTGCTGTACAATCAGGAAACACAACCTTCTTTATCCATGTAAATTCCATGCTCTGTACAGTGTTCACAGGAGCTGTAGCCAGAATGACTTTTGATACATTTCAAAAATGCACGAGCAGGTGCATCACAGATAAAGGCATCTGGAAGTGCAACATTAAAATGTTTTCCTCTGTAATTCAAACCCTCTTGAGTTACTGATTTCAGGTCTTCAATAAACTCTTTTAAGTATTTTGTGACACAGTCAGGCTTGGTCACACCTGCATACAAACCAATGATAACACCAGACTTTGGAAATTCCTTAATCATGGCCAAAATAGGCCACAACTCCATTTTTGAGCTTTTGAAGAGTGGTAAGCCATCAATGTTCACCCGGAGAGTTAACGTATCAACTGAAAGATGAGAGTCATTTAACAACTGTAAAGTTAGTGCCTTAGCCAGACCAAAATGATAGTAAATACCATGTCCCATTTCTTTCACTTCACAGGTTTTGGGAGTTGACAAAAGACTTCTAGAATCCTTGGGTAAATCCAAATTATAGTGCGCTAAAATATGTAGCAGCTCTGTCAATGCACTGTGTGAGATATTTCGATTTGCTGCCCAATCAGCGAGCTTAATTTTAAGTTCACATGTGGGATCAGTTTCTTCAGAGGTGCTGTTGAAATCCATTTCAATGTTACTGGCAGTACATGTTCTTCCAGCGACTGATTGTTCATCATTTTCATCTTCAAATTCTGCATCAGATTCTTTTTCGTTTTCATTTAAATGAATCTCAAAGCTCCACTTTTCACTGGGAATCTGATTGTCCACTTCAGAAGCACAATCCAAATAAAAACATGTGCCACTTTTGACCTTGAAGTCTTCCAAAAACTTTAAATGCTCAGAAACTTTGGCTTTAATCCGTCTTCTTTTTGTTCGAGTACTACAATAGTAATCCATTCTTTTAATTCTGTAAAACACAAACAAAGCACACTTTTAGATGGCTATTTACTAAAAATATGAGAGAACACTTGTCTAAAGTCTAATTTTGTCTTTGCCAAATACTTTTTTTTATTCAACAATGATTAATTAGAAGAATTTTACTATTAAGGTATTTTATCTGTTAGTTGAAATTTAAAAGATGATAAGCAAGGACAAATTGAGTTTTCAGGATGTAAAATTGGTATGGAATTAAAATTAATATTTCACAAGAAGTGTCCCACCGATAAGACAACAGCCCTGAATCATAAAATAAACGCATGCATGTCTTAGGTGTCACTGTTTTTATGACACTGATACAACTGGTTATCCAGCACAGTTCTTATTACTCAGTGCATTGCTCATTCAAATATTGGCAACAATTATATAAAGTAATGGCTTCATTAAGTAGTTAATTAGCAAAATCTAGAAAATAACAAAATTTTGATTATACATTTAAAAATTGTTTCAAGATTGATTCGTTTCTTTTAGTCAAGGGATTTTTATTTTGAAAATTTACGACTTCCATGCCACTCTCACACACAGCACTGAGAAATATTCCATTTGTTTCTATGAATGGCTTTTTTCTACAGATTGCTTCATTTCTTCAGCCAAATTTGAAAGCACATTGACAAAATTACTGTTAAGCTCATATACAATAACTAGAGGTGTGCTGATCGATC